TAAATATATATATATATATATTTATTATTCTTATCCTGTAATTCTAGCAAAGAAAAAGCATGTTGCCTGTAGTAACACAGTCAGATTCCCTCTGCCTTTTACAGTTAAGAAAATAAAGCAGGACATCTGGTTGGTTGCACCTCCACTTTCCCTGTTTCCCTGTACTTCTATTGTGAGCTCTACAGTGGAGGACTTCGAACGTCATCTAGCATTTTCTTCCCCAGCCTGACTGTTCTGGTCAACCCCTTTTTATTCATTAGATATCAGTTCTTCCAGTCATGGAGACTAAACATCACCTGTGGATGTTGCCTAGGGTGATCTGCTGTTTTTAGGAAGCTATGTTCAGCCCCTTTCACCAGTATTGCATAGCAAATCAGAGACCTAATAATGTCATGTTTAATAATGCAGGAGAATGTTGCAAACCAAAATTCACACTAAAGCTAAGGAATGCTTATTGACTATTGAACTTGCTCTACTATGTTAAAGAATTCCCTGACCGCTTCCTTTGTAGCCTAAGTGACATACTGCACCTCATTACATGCAAGCAATAGGAGGTTCATTTAATGTAAAAAAAAACTTGCCACAATAACTGATTTTTAGGCTGCCAAACTGCAATTAACACTCCAATCAATCTCGTCATTTCTCATTACATTATGAACTGATCACATGTGAGATTTTACCCTGCTGATTAAATCACAGTGTAATAAGTGATGAGAAAAATAAAGTCAGATGCTTCATTCAGGATTTTAATACAGACTAGTCTCACTTTAAGAAGTGGGCATACAGGGGGTAGACATATTAGTGGACAGTATGGTATTATCAAGGGCCAAATAAGGGGTAGGGACAGCCTTGAGAGGAGCTGGAATCTTTCTTGGAATACAAGAACTTAACTGCTTGTAGTTGGATTTTGGGTAATTCATCAAGAAGAGCCTCAGGGATGAATTAAGCAGAATTCTACTTTGTACTGCAGAATGTTCTGTAAATGTTTAATTATATTTAGTTGTGGTGACTAGAGAGACTATGATGGCAATTGCACTTTATCTTGGTATTCATTAAACCAATGTTAAAATTATTTAGCAATGTGAAAGGGGACATTATCATCCTGGTTATGTAGCTTCATAAGGAAACCCAATTTGTACCATTTGGGTGCATGCAGTCCTAAAAATTGTCTTCATATGCCCTGGTCTTTATACAGCCAGTTATAGTTATCCTTTAATTCATTAATTGATTACTATGAGGTGAGTGATTTACACTGAACCTTATGGTTAGAGCCGACGTGGGACATTGAAACTGTCACACATCGACTCTAAAGATCAGGAAGTGAGCGGCTCCCCGCAGGGATCCCCCCCTCCCCTCTCCGATCCTCCAGCGCTGACTGGAGGAATGGACAGGGGAGGGAAGGGGCGGGCACAGCTGACTCTGCCTCTAGATAGGCAGAGAGCGCTGTCAAGTTAGCCAGCTAGGTGGATCTCGATAGTATTGTCGGGATTCATCCCGGCTGAGGCGCTTACAGTATATCACGCGCAATAGCCCGTGATATACTGGGCTTTTGACAAGCAAAACTACTTTTTGCTGTTATACTGAGCTTTTGGTCATGGGAGGAGGTTAGTATATGTCCTCCCGTGACCCTAAAAAGAACTATGGGATAAAAAGTTTACCCCATAGTTCTCTTTTAATGATTGCCATGACATGGCAGCTCATGCAGCTGTGGATCCCTATAGTGTTTAACATTGCTGACATTGTGGGTTGATCCCTTTTGACTCTTTCCAAAAGAAACCTGTCAGAGTAACAGGATGGAGTACCATGGACGGAAATAGGGTAAAGGGTTACTCATCAGACCATATTACTTTGAAGCCCAGCACTAAATTGCAGTTTTGTGAAGCCTATAATGATTTTCTTAAGAATAGCCACAGAGGTTCTGCTCCAAGTCTATGGTCATTTTGGAAGCAATGATTTGTGACTTTCAGTAACTATCCATCCTTCATCAACTTCACCTTATGTCCATCGTCAACTTATTACCACTGTTTTTCTCAAATGATGCAATTTGTATGTGTTTGGCATATGCTGCCATTTTTATTATTTTCACTGACAATTTAAACATCTTTAATATATGGACAGACTTGCTTGAATTTAGGCACCTATATTTTGGCATCTTTGGAACTCTGCTAATTGCATCACACTGTCTTGGTGTTGCGTTGTAAGAGTCCTGCCATATACAAGGCCAGTGCAAGCTCGGCCGACCAGCAAAAGCACTTGTGCTGTGCATTTCAAACCTACTGATGCATTTATGATAAGTGGAGGCAGGTCTGCTCAAAGAAAACACACAAGTAGCACAGCAACTAGACCAGACAAAGGCATAGTCAAAGTAAGTATTTGATGGCAGTGCAGTTTCATCGGGGGTACATTTTATTTGCTGATGTAATCAGAAGGGAGGCTAGCACTTTTATTTTATATCTTCTAGTGAAGAGGGGCACACCCTAGTGACTTTTCCTTTTGATCCACAATAATGTTTCCACAATAATGTTTCCACAGCTGCACAGCAGGTAGCTGATGTTCTTTTTCCAAGCATATTAGATACACTCTGCTAGAAATGCTACACAGGAAATAAGTATAGACGGAGGCTTTCAGGAACTGTCAAGTCCACATTGCTAATGTATATGTAAATTGCTGGTGTTATTCCATTGATAATACCGAAGGGTAAAAAAACGCTTATCAATAACCTAATAAAATACTTCTGCAATGTGTTTTGTTCTTAATATAGTTATTATTTCCCTTGCCAAAAAATAACATTGGAATACTATGGGTCATACAGTCTTAGCTGAAAAGATAATGCAATAAGCAGTGATTATGTAACAAGTATACTACCGGTAATCTATAGCAGCCAATCAATTTTCATCTCTCAATAGTCTGAGCAATCTCTCGCTTTTTCACCCTATTATCATATTATCTTCTGTTTTATAGGTAACAGATTAATTTTCTAGTATTTCTTTTACATTGTTATAGAAAAATAACAAGTAGATGTAATGATGTATAATCTTATCTTTCAGCTACAAGGATCCATAAAGAGAAAGCTGGAAGAAGACAGTTCTCCTGTGTCCTCGAGCATAAATGATATCATATTTTCAAATGACAACAAGCGACTCTGTCTTGATGATGTTACACTTCCTATGGGCCAAACACAAAGTAGCGGTTCGGGTGTGACATGTCCTGATTTGCAGCACTCACCTTTCTCCACTAACCAGAATTCTTCATCTATGGGAGTGGGTGGTCATCAAGTTCTGCTAGAGAATAACCACATGAATGGGAGAGGAATGGCTTCCCCATTCTCTGTATCACAGAGCACAGATATGGGTCAAAAGGTACCATATGAAGAAAAAAATAGCAATCTACAGTCTGTGGACCAAGAATTACAGGACCTGTTGGAAGAGTTAACTAAACTGCCTGACCCATCTCCAAATGATCTGGACCTTGAGAAAATTTTGGGAGGTAAGCCAGATGAGCCACTTGTAATTAGTCATTCACAACCAGCCTTGAGTACAACTCCCAATCTTTCTCCTCCACAATCATCTCACTTGGACAATATCTCTAACAAAGATTTCACTAGTGGATGCAATTCTGCCAGTGCTAGTTCCCCACAGGTTAGGCCCTCATCTGCTGGAACAAACTATCCCATTCCTTCATCAAACAAACCTGTTCCCTCACCTGTCCCTACAACTCAGAATAAAAGTCAGTCACAGTCTATATTACCTTCATCAATGGCTAATATGCCTGGAGGAAATTGGCATGCTCAACAGCTTAAACAACTGGCTGCCAGTAAGCAAGGACCCCCAGCCAAGCAGCAAGTGCCGACAAGTAACTGGCCAACAATTTCACCTACAGGTCTTTCGCCACCATATAGACCTGGATCTTCTCCTCAGCAACCGTTTAGTCCGCAAAATGTCATGGTACCCAATATGAATGCAGGCAGTTTGCAAGGAAATGCTATACAAGGTTCACAGAGTACACTATTATCAAGTATGTCTTCTACCAGTAATTCTACCAGCCGGCCTTCTCCACCTTACGGGTCAGAAAAGATTGCAAGTCCAGCATTAAACCAGCAGCCCTTTAGTCCACAGAATCCTATGTTACAGAGCATAACATCGAGCAACATCCCAGGAAATACAATAAAAAGCCCCCAAAACAATATGGTGCCAAATATGGCATCTGCCAATGCTGGACCTTCTCCGCCCTATCAGCCAGAGAAACTTTCAAGCCCAGCCTTGCATCAACAGCCATTTAGTCCACAGAACACCTTGATGTCTAATCTCACACCTACAGGCAGCCAGTCAAGCTTACAGAACTCGCTTTTCAAGCCGATGGCCACAAACCAGCCAAAAAACATAAATATGATTATGCAACAGCCATCAAATGGCTTGCAGGCTGGCATAGTCAGTGAAAATCCAGTGGATCATTTTTCCTTTAACAACACCAAGCCACTTTCCCACTTTGCACCTGATTCTGCTGGACAGAAAATGAACTTGTCATCAAATCCTGGATTAATCCATTATCTTCAGCAGCAGCAACAACAGCAGCAGCAGCAACAGCAGCAGCAGCAGCAACAGCAGCAACACCAGTCCTCAGCAGTGCAGCAGTCCCAGCAAGTCAGCAACAATCAATTTCTTCAACAACAGATACGTCAGTTAATGCAGCCTTCCCGAATGCAGAGACAAATGCAGACCAGTGGTTTGCCTGGTCAACCCCGACAGGTAATTGATCTGCTTTTGCAGTCCCATTATTATATACTCATTCTAATTATATAAATGCAGTAGATTGACAAAAAAACAAAAAACAAGATAGAGTCCAAAGAAAGATTACTTTGACCTAAGCTACTCTAAAATAATGTAGATTGGTAAAGGAGAACTATGGGGTTAAGGCTTTTCCCCATAGTTATCCTTAGGGTAACGGGAGGACACAAACTAGCGTCTTCCCGTCACCCTAAGCTCAGTATATCGTGAGCTAATGCTCGGGTGACACTGAGACGCTGAAGCAGATCCCGACAATTATGTCTGGATCCGCCCAGCTACGTGAGTGACAGCTGGCTCTGCCTATCTAGAGGCAGAGCCAGCTGTACCCACCCTCTCCCCCGTCCGTTCCGCCAGTCAGTGCTGGCAGATCGGAGCGGGGAATCCAGCCCCTCCCCTATCACGGCAGAGAGCTGTGACAGGATCGAGAAGTGAGCGATCGCCGGTATGTGTTCGCTCACTTCCCAATCTACTGAGCCGACCTGTGACATTCTCATTTTCACAGGTGGGCTAGAACTATGAGGTGAGTGAAAAGCACTCACCTCATAGTTCTCCTTTAAGCAAACTTACAAATAGGTTTATGAGCTGACTTTTTCCTTTTGCTGATGGAAAGAAAGTATCTAACATCATGACTAAGAAGAGAAAAAAACCTTTGCCATTTCTAGGCACCTTGCTTCACCGTCTAATGATAACACTGGTCATACATGTAACTTTTTGGGCAGATTCAGTTACTGTATATGCATCTTCTCTTGAATCACATTCAAGTGCCTTTATCCAAACAAAGATTTTTTTTTTCTTTTCTGGTTGTTCAGCTCTTTGCCACACTTGCAGGTCTTCCAAGACTGATACTTTGCACGATGAAAAGCTATCACAATCTTTCCAAGTACCTAGCTCATTCTGGATTTAACAAAGGTCAGGAAGGAAGCGTATTTTAGAGATAAGTACCAGAATAGTTCTGAAACTGCAGGATCACAGACTGAAAGGAAACGTGAGGAAATGCAGTGCAATAAAACACTTTTCTAGCAGATGTGAAACTACATTTATTGAGGAATACACATAAGATCCAAGTGTCATTGTGTTTCCATAAAGCTATGTTTTCAAACAAGGAATAATACAGTGCTAAACATTAGTGTGAATGAATAGGATGCAGTTAGGTCTACCCTTGAAGAACCTATGCTTGCATTAGGCAGGCACACCCTGAATAGATCTCAGATGCTGTTCTATCAGGACAGTTTACACATTGTTTTCTTCCTCACCATTGAAATGTCAACCCAATACAAGTTCATCTAAAATGTACCATATGAAAGGATAAACACAGCTAAAGATTATATTAGTAAAGAGTTGTTGAATAGTATGAAGGTGTCAAGGGTTTTGTTCCTGTGGCCCCAGATAACTGAAGTCAAGTGGAAAAAAATATGTCAATAATAGGCAACTGTCAAGGAAATTTCATATAGCAACATGCAGGTAAAACATATCCTGTCCCTGTAATAAGAGAAGCATGTCTAAGTGTTGTTATGTAGACATTCTGATTATACGGCATATCTCCGTTTATCTTTTAGTTTTAGATAAAGTAGGGAAAGGTTAACATTTCTGTCAAGTATCTATTTCTGCCTGTGACCCCACAAATACAGAAAATACCAACTGTACTAAAAATATGTTTTTGCTTCTGTTCTTCTTGAGACATTACCCATCACTTCCTATCCTGACCGGAAGTGAGTGAAAATCTCCCTATTAGGGCCATAGAAAGTAATAAAAATATGGCAGGGACTCCAACTAGTTCCTGCTCTATCTAAAACCATATTAAAATTTTGTCTAGAGTTGGGCTTGAAGACCAGTAGGTATACCCCCATCACCCCAGACCATAATGCAGGTTTTAAGTGCACACAAAAGATTCTTCTATTTTTGTCAATCAAATGTTCCTAGTGCTTAGACTACCCGAAAGTTCAATATACTTTATGTTTTTAATACATTTAACTGAAACGTTTAAAAAGCTGTTAGATTTTATAGTCAATAAGAACATAATATCTTTACAAATGCCTCTGGATCAGACATTTGCAGAGCACCTAAGCCATTCAGATTTAGGTAAAGATTAAGGGAAAATATAATGCTTGCATGAGTTATATGGCAGGAGTAATGATCCACCAGTCAGGACTGTTATCCCTTTACTATGCCATTGCTTTCAACAATGATCTGTGTCCACAATAACAACAACTGAACATTGGATTTTCACTTGGTGAGTACATGTGTACTGGTTCAATTATTGTAGAAATAAGTAGGAGTATAAAACTGGCTATAGACATCACACACAGCTGTTGGATGTATAGGCATGATTCATCTTTCCATAGATTTCATGTTCTAGACTGTTACATTAAACATGCACAGTCTAATCACCTGAGAGTATATATTTATGCCTATGCAGGTGAGAGGCATAACAGAGCCAGACACCTCTGATTATGGCAATTCTTGCAGGAAACCAATAGCAATCAGTGTAAATTATCCAACATAGTCCATTGTTATTTCTGTCTGTTTTCTGGGGTATCCTGTTGCTGTGTGAATTATTGATGCCAGGATTATCACATTATTTAGCCAAACTAAAAGCATCTCATGTCTGTTGCCAACGTTAAGATGTGTGAGGATGTATCTGCGCTGATTTAGGGTCCTGGAGGGACAATAATCAATGATTTACAAAAGTCTGGTCGCTTACACAAATATGTTTTGATGTACTATATGCCACAGCTGATTTTTAGTCCCATTTTGGCACTGTTTTGCAAGCTAGACATAATCCGTGAATGTGTGATAGCAGTAATGACGTGTGTTTTTACCACTTGACATGAATTGACCAATTTTGTCAAACAGCTTGCTAATAATCTATTTTTACTCGTGTGCATCTTATTTGCATTCACAAATAATATGATCCAGAAAAGGCTGTTAAGAATAAGAAAGCATGTACGCATTTTAATGTAAGTATATTAATATTAATAGAGAAAATATTTGGAATACAAAAACTGCCAATGACCGTCTAAATACTGCACCTTTGGTGCCCAAACCACGTCTCACATTTTTTCCAATGCAACCATGAGCCCCAAATGCCAGGGCACTCTAATATATAACCAGATTTATGGTCAACAGCTTTACATTTAGAGGTGTCTGACATTAAATTTACCTCTTAACAAATTAGAAGCTGTTCATTCATGGTGGCTTCTGTAATGTACATTATCCCATTGCTTGAATCAATTTAGATGTTCAAGTTTTATTATCTGATAAACACTGTACGTAATCTGTTTATCCTATTGGAACATTGAATGCAATAAGGCAAACATTAAATGTAATTTTCGTCTCCTGACCTTCAGCTTGCTCAGGACTATTTTCCAACACAACCTGGTGCAATCTTTTTATATTGGTTATTAGATTCATTTAATTGCGGTATGCATTGTTGTATAGTTGCATGTTCGTTAGGTAGTATTAAGAGGTCTGGGATAGTTTAAGACTCTCAGTGAAGCAGTTTTTTTCACCATATAATGGAAAGAGGTGCAGCTTGTGTACTGAAAAGGAATGTGGAAGGCTGCCAGTTGGAGTGGGAACACAAAGACATGAAATCTGATCCTTGTAGCAAACAGCAGAGCAGAGGGAAAGGCACAGCTGTTGTGACATAAACCCATAAGAACAGGCTTTTAGATGCTTTACCATATTGGGAAAAAATAATTTAGGGACCCATGCTCACAATTATTTGTATGGATGCAGTCAAGGTGACATACAATTTTTTGCATTTCATCTGTAGTTGCTGACATGTGCCTACTTGCATTTTCATGTATAACTGTGTAAAAACTTTTACCCAGTGTGTGAACTAGAGTTTTAGCAGCCCTTGAGTCAGCTGTGCATCTGAGGATAAAGCTAACCCAGCGTCGGCTTTTCGGCCTTGCCCTTCTTTCCTTTATCCACCCATGGGATTCTAGAAACAGGGGCAGGAACCACTGCTGTACTGTGCATATATTTTACTGCCCAGCTTCAGTTTGTTTATCTGCATATGCTACATTTCTGAAGAGATGAGAAACTTTGCTCCTTAGCATACCTAAAATCTTTCCCAGTCCCTATTGGTGAGGATTGCAAAGGATATATGCCACTAACCTCCCTGCTGTGCTTAGTGCTGTCCAGTGGTACGCAGAATGCATTCATACTGGTTTTTATACACTTGTAAATAAACTTTTTGGGTGTTAACATGTCAAACAAGACATTGTTCTGAAGTAAACACTAATGTATCCCTAGCTGGTAAGTCAAGGGCGGTAGGTGTGTAATTGTTCAATTAAATCATCAAGCCACGCTAATACATAGACCAGGATCAACATCACATTACTGCATTTATAGCTTAGTGATGAGAATATTTGCCCTTTGGCTGCATTTTTTCCTTGCAGTGCTACCCAGCTATCTGCTTGAATACATAAAATAGGCAGATTGTTAATATGAAATTTAACAAGTAGATTTTTGTCAGATAAAGTAAACTAGCAAATGAGTTACCGTTGGCCAGATTTTTTTTTTTTATTACCCCTTTCAAATGTTTTTAATCAAGTGCACAAAATGATTTAATTCTAGTCAAATATAAAAGCAGCTGTTATGGGAATGAGCGTGACTGAAATTATGATGATTAAACAGCAATGCTTGATGTAAGAGATGTCACCAGCAGAATCCTAGAATAGCTCTGCAAGGAAAAGAATTCCATGCATAATGTTAACAGTCTATGAATGTTGCTTTTATCTTTTCATGTATGACAGAAGTATGAATTACAGCTTGCCAGTCTTCTCCATGAGGGTACTAAAATACTTTTTTTAGGTCACATACTGTATGCAATAGCATCATACTTTGCTTTATAAATGAAGGTAATTGTTACTATTTGCATTTTTATATGTTTATGTATTTTAGTCATTGTTTCTTGGGCTTTTTCTAAGAACATTGAGTACATATCAGTCCCC